AAAGTAGACGTGTATGACCAGAAGCCGAAAATTGAAAGTTGAATTTTAAAGCTTCAATTTCCAAAGGCCAAATTCGTAATTTTAACGAGAATAAGAGAATTTAGAGAGTAGAGAGTAGAGAGATTAGAAGATATTTTTGTGAGTGAAAAGAATGAAAGATTAGGGGTATTTATAGTTAAAAAAAAAGGATGAAAATGTAGTTTTAAGAAGGTTGGGATATTAAAAAAAGTTTGGGGGGTAGGGAGGTGTAAAGGGGAGTTATGGGGGTGAAAGAGCCGTTGGTGGGGCCCAAAACCCGTTTCCTAACAGCTCTCAACAACTATAATTTGAAATTTTAGATTAAAAAAAAAACTGAACGAACCGGACCGGAATCGGACCAGAACCGGGACGGAACTGGGAATAACCGGATCGGAACGAACTGGTAAATCCCGGTTTCCGTCCTGTTACCCCTCTCGGACCGGTACTATCCGGAACCGAGACGGAACCGGTACCGGTACCTCCCGGTTCCGTTGCCAGCCTTACAATGCAGTGATGGATTAGCCGACAGGAAAACATTAAAAATGGTCGTTTTGTATTTTTACCTCTAAGAAAAACCTAAACAAATTTCTTGACTAATTAAAGACCCAAAACAATCAGATTTTCATCTCTTAATCCATCATTCTCTTCTCTCTCAAACCCTAAGGAAAAATCAAAGTAGAAGACTCCATTCGAGATTCTTTCAATCTTTTTTAAGATTCTTCTTCAAGGTAAGTTCTTCTCCAAGAATTCCATTCTTTCCTATTTAAATTCCTTCATACAGTTATGAATCATTAATGAGAATCCTAATTCTTGGCCATATAGTTTTAAGAAACTAATTCAAGAATCTCAAGAAAGGTTTTCTTGATTGTTCTCTTTCAAGCTAGGATTTCAAGACTTCTGATCAAGTTCTTCAAGATTCTTCAAGATTCTTCAAGAACCTTGTTCTTCTAGGTATGTAAGGCTATCATAGTGTTGGACTAGTTCATCCTCACGCCTTACATCTACTTTCAAATAAAAAAAGAGAAATCTAGGATTCTAACCCTAGATTTGAGTATTCTTGAGATGAGTTGATTTTGAGTTCGAGTTCCCGTTTCTTTTTGAAATTCTATTCCTAATTATTGAATTGCTATATGTTATGCATTAATATTCTTGAGTTGATTCGTTCATGTCTATATTTCAACATGAACCCTATGAATTGAGTATTTTGCATCCTTGAGTTCTGAGTATTAAGTTTCTATATTGTTATTGAGATCCTTGAGTTGATTTGTTCATGTTTATAATTCAGCATGAACCCTATTTTGAGTTATAAATCTTGAAAAGCTTTTAAAAGCCAAAACTTGAGTATTAAACTGAGTTTTTGGAGAAAGTAAAGATGAGTTTTGAGAAAGAGTTTTTAAAATATGATTAGTATGACAATCAAGTATGCCATCAGTGTTTAAGCAGTATGGTATCAAGATATTCCATCAATTAATGTTTATGCAGTATGACTTCTCGAGTTATCACCGATCATATCACAATATAATTTTGATATATTTTTGAGAAAGAGTTTCCAAATATGAATTGAGTAAGAGTATAAGGGAACTAAGTATTCCCAAAGGTATCAATTTTTACATTGAGAAAAGAGAAACTTTGATTTCTAAATGAGTTAATGAGTTCAGAGATATTTTAGAGCAGTTACCTATTTTAAGAGGCTATTTTGAGTAATTGCCTCAAAACAGAGAAAGAGTATGGTTTATACATTTGAGCATGAGAATATATATTATTGGGAGTAATATTAAGTACCGATATGGGGATGAGTTCAGATAACTCAAAATCCTCATAAACTGTGTATGTCAACATGGGTAAAGGGTCATACTTTTTAGATGATTCATTATTGCTTTTAAGCATAGCTTAGTGGATCCAATTAGTTAAGGTGTTTTATACCCCGACAAGGTATAGGACAGTTCTGTCAGCGTGGGCGAGACATTGTATCATCACGTAGCTCATAGTGATGGTTGTCGGTTAGAGAATCACCCAAATAGAGATCAGTAAGTATTTTTGTAAAGTTTTAATGATTTCACTCATTTATTTCTTTACATTCAGTTGAGTATATATCTATATCTATTGTAGTCCTTTCATTCAATTATTTGTTATTCAGTTATATTACATACTCGTACATTCAATGTATTGATGTCATTCAACCTGCATATTTTAATGATGCAGATACAGGTTCTTAGGATCCTCAACAAGAGTCTGTTAAGATCACTTCATCCGCTCGTCAGCTTTCGAGTGAGGTCTCTTTGCTTCCGGAGGAATCCAATTTTTATGAGTTGTTACTAGTAGTTCTCTTGAGGAGTCGTGGGTCTTGTCCTGACACTCATCCCTGTATATAGTAGAGGCTTTATAGATAGACAGTTTAGGAGAGTCTTTCAGTTTTATATGTTTTATTTTAAACTTATGTTTCATACTCAGTATATCCAGTTCAGTTTCGAGATTCAGTAAATTATTTTTAAACGTTTCTTTCAATTTAATGCTTACGTATGCTTGAGTTAGTCTTCCGTTTGTAGTCATCCGGGATGAGGGTTCGCTTGGGGACTAGTAATGGTTCTCGAGTACCGACCACGTCCAGGGTGTAGTCTCGGATCGTGACAATTACATCTTAAGAGTTTAGCTGACCTGGTACTTCTCTAGAATCTGGATCATTTCATCCTTAGGAACTGCATGACTAATTGTTTCTTGGAAACGACTATCTCTCTGAATTTGAAGTAGCTCTTCAATTTCAGCTTCATCTCTGTCTTTTAGATTATTTATTCCACCAGACTCATCAAAGATGACTTGAACACTTCTGTCCGTGCATATAGTTCTTTTATTGTAAAGCCATGTGTGTTGAAGAGTACCCTACAAAGACTCCCTCATCACTTTTAGGATCAAACTTTCCAAGATCATATTTATCATTGTTGAGGCAAAACATTTACAGCCAAATGCCTTAAGATAACTGAGCTTAGGCTTTCTTTTGTTCATCAATTCATCGGGTGTCTTTTTAAGAACGGATTTAATAAGACACCTATTTGTTACATAGCAAGATGTGCTCACTGCCTCTGCCCAGAAGTTATTTGCAAGATTTGAATCAATCAGCATGGTCCTTATGATATCCACCAGAGTTCTATTCTTTCTCTCAACTACCCCATTCTGTTGAGGGATTTTAGGAGCCGAAAAGTTGTGGCTAATTCCATGTGCAGCGCAAAATCCTTCAACCTAAGCATTTTCAAATTCAGTACCATGGTCCGACCTGATCCCAATAATTTTACAATCCAGCTTTGTTTGAACCTTCTTTGCGAAAATGATCAAAACTTCAGTTGTTTCATCCTTGGTCCTCAGAAACATGGTCCAGGTGAATCTTGAGTAATCATCAACTATCATAAGGATGTACTTCTTTCCACCTCTACTCTAAATTTTGATGGGACCACACAGATCCATATGAAGAAGTTCCAACGGCCTGGTTGTGCTTACACATTTCTTCTGTTTGAAAGATGATCTGGTTTGTTTCCCTTTGACACATGCATCAATGATTTTGTTATCTACAAATTTCAGTTTAGGGAGACCCTGAACTAGGTCATGATACAAGTTTGTTCAGAAGTGAGGCACTCATATGGCCAAGTCTTTTGTGCCAAAGATCAGCATTGTCACTTTTAACACTGAGACACGTAAGATTATCTCCTTGTATCGAGTCTACGTTAGCCACATACATGTTCTTGAGCTTTGAGCCTTTTTGCTGTCAATATCACCTCTTGAGAAGTAAGATTGGTGACAATACATTTGTCAGACAAGAATCTAACCTCATTTCCCTTGTTGCAGATTTGAGATACACTGGGCAGATTATACTTCAATCCATTCACACAATACACATCATCTATGGGATGCTCCACATACTTTCCAATTTCCCCAATACCAAGAATGTAACCTTTCTTTCCATTGCCAAACAATACACCACCACCTTGGTGTGCTTCAAGAGAGAGGAAGTGATGTGTTTCTCCAATCATATGCTTGGAACATCCACTATTGCTTTCTCCCTTCTGCAGATGAAGAATCACTTGTTAGATTTAGGAACCCACTTGAGACGGAGTTCCCAAAAACTAGACAATCACTTGATAAGAGACTTCCTGGTCCATGGGGGCAGTTTTTTCTTGTTTAACTTGTAACTAGGACCAGGTTCTTTTATCCCTCTTCCTTTTAGTTTAGAAACTTTTCCAGATTTTCATTTACCTTCCTTAGGGATTCACAATCTCTTTTCAGATGACTATTTCTACCGTAGTGAGTGCACAACAAATTATCAGAGACAAAGACATACTTGTTGTGAGGGTTCTAAGGAGGATCTATCTTCTGACACACTGAAGTACTACAGATACGACTAGTGATATAGGATGTAAAATAGGCAAAGGCAAAGTAAAGGTACTTACAAGAGGCCAAGGGTTGTGGGACAAGGTGTATTTGTATCTCAAACTAGTTATACTTGTGTTATTGCAAGTGTTTTAAGCTACTCTTCATATGAGGTATCTTTGAATTCCAAGAATATAAGTACAATGGATTCTCTTTTAATTGTGGCAAGATATGCCTAGCAATAGAAATGTAAATACCAGTACTACAATGAAAAGCTCAACGTATGTTACATGCGATAATGGATATAAGCATAGTAAGGATTTGAAGTAGAAAGGCAGTGGGAGGTTGTAACTCAAAGACAACTTCAAATTGAAAGTGCTACAAAAAGAATTCAAATGAGATCAAAACTTGGAAAATCACCCTCCAAGAACACTTAGTTTGCTTCATTTAATGATCTATATTTCGATGTGTTTTTTGTGTGTCAAGTCATGGACTAATATCACTGTAGTTATTGCACAAAACAATGTCATGAACAAGGAAGAAGGAGAGTTTCATTTTAATGGAAAGCAGCAATCAATGATGTGTGCCAAGTTTAGGGTGTTTTTAACTCCTATTCACTCTTAAAATAATTACCTAACAAAGCTGTAATATTATTTTAATAGCAAATTTACACGGTTATACTCAATCCACTATTTCACGCATGATTATAAATTATATCTGACTAACAGTTTCCTCTAGCTAAAGTTTAAGATGATTTGAAGTCATAGGTTGAAAAACATGATTGGAATCTGATTCTAATGCTTCAATCATGTCAGGCCACAATATAGCTGAGACAGTCCATGATCCATCGCCCTTAGCACCTTGCCTTTGGTTGATGTAACCGACTCCAAGCTTTTTTATGGTGGAGTAGACCGTTCCTAGAACTGGACTTCCGAAGCCAAAATCTACTTCAGCCACCGGGAATCTCCGTCCAGATGAAACTACAATAGCCGGACCACCTTGTCCAAGGACAATCTTCGAGAGCATCAATCCAGGCTTGTTCCATTCAATCCAATCAATTAAATCCAAGAAATGTTCTGCACTAGTCACTTTAGAGATAGCATTGTGCACCTTCTTCGCAACATCTGACAACAATGCTTGATCAATTTCACTTACACTTGCTTCTCCAACAGCTATAGATAAAGCATTCCCGATATAGTTCTCCGTTACTTTTTCATTGTAAGTGCATATCCTTGTTCTTCCATCCACTAACCATCCCATCTTACACTTCTTGTGTCCTTTATCAATTGCCTTGACCATAATCTTCCAGATATAAGCTGAAAACGCCTCGATTTTAGTCCTTTTGGTACCATCAATTGATACGATTTTCTGCAGCATATCGATGCTCGATGCATCAATGTAGTATAGGCGCTTAACCAGAGTTCTCGGGGTTGATATGTTGTGTATATCATGGAGGGAGCATGAAATGAACGATTCGTCAAAAGAAGGGTTGTAAATTGGTGGATTTCGTGCACGGAGAAGATATCGCCTGTGATCCGGCGAGAAAGAGAGGGATTTTTTCCTTGCTATTTGGGACCACATCAGTAGAAACTTACTGAAGGAACTAGCATCACCTAAAGCATGATCAAATGTGAATGTTATAATTATGCCTCCACATTTGTAATTTGTGAGTTGGACTTGTACTGGAAACTCCTGATTAGTTGGAACTAATTTCCCCTCCAAACACTTGTTGAGATTATACAAATCAAGTTCTTTTAGAGAATTGCTCGATTGTGCTTCCAGAAACAGAGCACCAGTATTATCACATACAATTTGAGGCTCATGTGTCTCTGTATTTGAAATAATTCTACCAGCAAAGGGGTAAAAGTGTGAGAGGCAATTAGCAAGGGATTTTCTTAACTCATCCGCAATGGAAGCTGATGAGCTGTTATGTTTTGCTTTATGGTAGATGTAAAAGTAAGTCACTGGAAAGCGTCCAGAGAGGAGGTCGAGGTTCGAAAGGGTGAGCACATAAGGTTCTGGAATTGTAACGGTAGCTTTTACTACAGATTTTCTGATGAAACTTACTGTGTAATCGTCATCTCTTGCATCTACCAGTGCCATGAAATTGATTACAGAATCTTAAATTTAGGTTGTGATGGATTTATTTGAGATATTTTCTGGTCTAATGTATAGAACACCTTTTTATAGAAAAAAAAATTAAGACATAATGATGTGTTTTATAGCATTATGAATTAACTGGGTCTACTTTAGAAAAAAGGGACGATCAGAACTCAATGCTAATGAAGTGAAATGCTTAGCGAAGATTGCATTATGAATTTGGAGTTATTTTATAGTCATGCGTAACTCACACTAGTACGAATATTCCTCTTCCTTAAACTATGTCCATTGGATCTGGAAGATAAACGAATTTCAGGTATGAACAATAATAGGCTTTATTATTACCCTAACAAAACCCTTTTTTTTTAAAAAAAAAAAAAACTACTTTGTTTAAAACAGAATTGACATATTTTTAAACTTCCTTACGAAAAGAACATCAAAAATGCCTTCTTAATAATGTGAAGGAAAAAAAGATATAATATACTATTAATTTTATCATTTAGAGTTGATATACCTCTCATTATAAAAGTAATTTATATATATATATATATATATATATATATATATATATATATATATATATCTTTATCATCATTCGTCATAAAAATGGCTCACTCCTACCTTTATAAAAGTGGCATAGATGTATCTTTTTATCTAATGAAAGTGAAAAAATTAATTTTTTTTTTAAATAAATAAAAAAATTCATGTAGGAGCCTCATATATAATTCTTTTCACACGTAATTTTTTTTACTTTTTTGATTATCAATATTTTAGTTTCTATCTTTAGTGTAAAAATACGAGAAATTTAAAAAAAGAAAAAAAGAGAGTGAATGAAAATAGAGGGGGAAAAATTAAAACTATTTTTTTCATATATATTATAAATTTCTTTGTATCTGTGAAAATATTGGGGCATACATGATAAATTTTACAAAAAAATTAGTAAAAAAAGTAAATTGACTATCAAAATAATAAATTTAAATTAATTGTTGAATCAAAAAAGTCAAAAATATTATGTGTGGGAAAGATCAAATATATTCCTACATAAATGTTTTTCATAAAAAATTAAATTTAAAATTGATTTTTTTACTTCTTTTAGAGGAAAAAGGTATATGTGCGTTATTTGTGTAACATTGGAGGTATATATATGAACCACTTTTATAAAAAAAAATATTAATTTTAAATAACAAAATTAAGGATATATCAGACTCTTTTTTCTTATATCAAACATTACTTATTTTGAAATAAAATAAAAAGATAATAAAAATTATCATTTATTTTGAAACGGAGAAAGCAATATTGATGATGAAAGTAATATTGATGATTGAATGTAAGTGGTGAAGTCGAACAGCATGACTTCAGCAGTTATAGTGCCTCCTTTTTGACAAATGGGAACTGGCAATAATGAAGTTCAACAAAAGCAGTTATATCTCCGCCCAATCCCTCTATCATGACTCATGAGGTCGCTTATGGGCACGATTAGAGGTGTAGATCGGGTTGATTCAGATTTTTTAAATATCAAATTAGTTAGTTTGTGTCAAATTTATAAATAAAATAAAATTAATAAAATTTGGATTTTTTTTGTTAGTTCGAATTTTTTAAATATCAAATTAAATTATTTGTGTTGAATTTTTAATCAAACCATACTAATAAACCTCGGGTTGCTTCAGGTTTTCGGATTTTTCTGGTAAAATATAAACATATAATTAGTTTGTGCTTCAAATATTCCTTTAGTTCAATCAAAATACAACTATCTAAGGTGTTTCTTAAGAAAAATAACCCAAAATATGAGACGAGTAATGACACTAAAATATTAAATAAAAAATAAAATTCAAATAGTATAAAATAAATATTGCAAATTAATAAGTCATAGTGAAAATGATCATAATTTAAAAGTACTAAGAGTCTGTTTGGCTTAACTTTAAAAAAAATAAAATTTAAAAAGTCAAACTTTAGTAATTTTTAAGTTGAACAATGAAAAGTAGGACAATAGTACTTTTAACCTTTTTTAAGTCATTTTATTTAAGTTATTTTTAACTTTGTCAAACACTTTCAAAAGCTCATAATGACTCAAAAGTAGGTTTGACAAACTTTTAAGTCAATGCAAATACAATAAAACCTCACTACATTAATACTCGATTAATTAATAATCTCCCTAAGATAATAATTTCTTCTGGTCCCAACTTGGGCCAATGGAAAAAATCACTCATTTCAATAAGATAATAAGATAATATATTTTCAGAAGATTCCTATATAAATATATGGTTTCATTAATATTATAAATTAATAATTCTTTAAAAGTACAAATATATATAAGACAATTTAGTGAAATATGATTCTATTATGTTCTGTTTTTTGTTAAAATTTAAATCTAGTTGAAGTTCATCTCTAACTTCTCTTATTGCATCCGAAAGTTTGATATTGTCTTTTCTAATTATTGCACCATAAAATTGTGAAGAGTTCTAAATATGATAAGTGTTTCCTTACGCGTAACTGGTTCCAAAGGTATTATATTATCTTCAACTTTATCATCAACATTGTTTTTCCAATGATATCCACAATTTGTTCTAAGCTCTAGACCTCTGAACATGTATCATTTTCGCTCATTCAATAGGTTATTAACGTCAATTCTATTGTGGTATTATTGATCTCAAGTTCATGAATGACATTTTCACAAGTGGGTTCTTTCAAATTTTATAAGATTTCATCCATAAACAATTTTTTTAGTGTCATAAATATTAATTTATCAATTAATAATACCTCTACAAAATAATAATATTTCATGGTCCCACCTATATTAATTTAGAGAGGTTTTACTGTATGTTCTAAATGATGCTAAAATAAGTCTAATAAGTATTAATTACATGGTTAAATATTAAATTAAAATTAAATTGAGGTCATGTATATTAAGGTCAACTCATGAAAAATAGTTATTCTCTCGTGTTTAGAGATAATTATTGTAAGATTTATGATAAAATTGAGCCAAATCAAGTCATTATTGAAGTAAAGATGGTAAAAAGAATCTTTCCTTTACAATTTCATTACAATGCATTCAAAAATGAAATTGTAGATGATTCATGGCTTTGGCACAAAAGATTTTGTCACTTGAATTTTCATGGTTTTGTACCTTCTCAAGCAAAAAGATATGGTGCGATGCCTTCCTGAGATATATACTGAGGTGGATCCATGTTAAAGTTGTATAATAAGAAAGCAACATAGAAAGTCTTTTCCAAAAGGAATCATGTCTTGAAGAGCAAGTGTACTTTTGGAATTAATTCATATCGACATTTGCGGACCAATGACGACTCCATCTCTTGAAAGTTAAAGATAATTTCTAATCTTTATTGATGATTTTTCAAGAATTACTTGGATTTATATCTTAAAAGAAAAGTCAGAAGCATTTGCTACATTCAAGGAATTTAAAGCCCTTGTTGAGAAGAAAAAAAGTTGCAATATCAAAATCATTCGCAGTGATAGAGGAGGTGAATGCACAAGTCAAGAATTTGAAGAATATTGTAAAAAGAGAAAACACATAAAAAAAACTCCCCCTGAACTTGCCAGGACAACTTACTTTAGCACTTTAACTTTACGGGTAATTTTTTACACCCCTGAATCTTTTTTCAAGTGAATTTAATATCCCCTTAGAAGTCTAGAACCACACTTGTAAAGATAGGTGTGCTACACGCACCTCCAAGTGTCAACAAATTATTTTTATACATTTTTTAAAATAAAAAACCATCCACCCCAACCTTTATCGTCCCTCACAATACCACCACCGTAGATTTCACAAAGTCTACCACCATTCACCAACTACTACTCCCTCTATTCCTCGTCCTCTCCATCACCCCCGCCATCAAATTCACAACATTACCACCACTAGCTACACCATTATGCAACCATCAACTCCGTAATACCCATCATCGATAACAATACCATCGGCCACTGCCTACTCTACAATACTCATCACCAACAGTTGTATAGCCTCCATCGCCGCTAATTTTATATTTATTACCATCACCACCATTGAAATAAACTCCAAAAAACCATGCCACTGCTGTCAATTTCACAATACACCAATACCCATCATCAACAACAATGATGTCAACAGAATTTGGCCACCATAAACGTATGAAAACAAATTTATAATAGAATTAAAGAATAGTGAGAGAAGATCGAAATGGCGGTGAAAATGAAAATGGGTGCAGGTAATTAGATCTGCCACAAACACCACATCGAAAGAAATATGGATGGTTTTCCACATTACCCACCACAAACACCATCGGCACGAACAATTTTATTTTCTCATGAACTGAACACCCACCTCAGAGTGTTAAGGTATAGTGGTTCCGCTCTCTTTAACTATGCAATAGACACCTCCGACAAGCTTTTTATCCTTGCCAAGGAAATCACAATGTTTTTTTTTTTCATTTTTTATTATGGTGAAATCGAAGAGGTAAGGTGGCGATATTGGAGGAAGAGGAATGGAGAAATGGTTGATTTTACATTCATGGTGGCATACGACATGGATTTGTGAACAAGATGAAAGGTGGAGAGAGAAAAATGTAAAAAAATTAATGAAATTGGAATTTGGTCAATTATTTTTATTACTTTTTCTCTTTTTCATGCGAGTTTGGGAGAGTGATCACACTTTTCGTGTCATATCATCAATTAAGGAGGTATAAAATTCACTTGAAATGAGTTAAGAGTGGTAAAAAAGTACCCGTAAAGTTACAATACTAAAGTAAATTTTGTGGACAAGGTTAGGGGAGTTTTTATGTATTTACTCCTGTAAAAATAAAGACATTCAGAAGCAACTTACAACATGGTATACTCCTCAACAAAATGGTCTATCTAAAAGAAGAAATCGAACCATTGTTGAAATGGCTAGAACAATGATTAATGAGAAAGGGCTGCCAAAATATTTTTGAGCAGAAGCAGTACACACAGCGGTGTACATCCTCAATAGGTGTCCGACAAAGACAGTGAAGAATAAGATACCAGTTGAA